ATTAATGGATTTACACACTAATGTATTTTGTTCTATTTGCTGATGCTTGACACTTCTTTCTTTCTTTTTTTGGACTCGTGTCTCAAATTTTGGTATAATATAATAAATCCTCATTTAATATTGAGTTCAGATGTTGGCAGTAAGTTGGGAACAGAAATAATCGTATACCGGAGATCGGCATTTACTGTAGATACAGTATTCCAAACCATGACATAATCCACTTATGAGAATGCAATACTAGATGTTCACATTATGGAAAAGGATTTATTTCATATGCTGTAATACATGCCGTTAATCACAGTCTTTTGCAATTTTCTCAGCGTACTCGTTCAGCTTCTAAGCATAATTTGAGTTTTATTGTCATGTGTATGTAGTACAATGAAATTCTTTTTCTCCAGACTAGTGTCAGTACATAGAAGACAAAAAGAACAACACTGAATTAATTTACCTTGCTTAAGCAGTTCTACATTTCCTGCATTATCATTTACAAATTAACCAAATGCCTGGAAAATCAAAGCATGCTATTCAGATGAGGTTAATAAAATAGGTTAGAATGCAGTTTAGAAACATCAACAATGTAGCCATCGTTTTTTGGTGTGTAAGTTCATTTAATGAAAAACTTTGCATTACAATTCTCTAACAGTTATACAACATTTCCCGGTATAATAAAGCTGAGCTAAATTTGTCTGGTGCATGAATATCTCCCTGAGGCTGACACTGACTCTGATACAAACCCACTTTGCGGGCTTAGCTTGTATCTGCCTCTTCTGAAAGAACGATTCAGTTGTTGAGTCACTGCGACATTAATGTAAGTTCTCAGCGACCATCATTCTAGTACAAGTACATTTGCGTCCTTTTAACAGTCTCCTCTGAGTGTTAGTAAAAGTGCCTATATATGGAAATATACTAAATGACTCTCAGAACAGAATCCATAGAATTTGACTCTGGGTCATAGTACACATGAAGCACAGATGTTCTCCTTCCAGTGGTGGAAGGGTTTAACTGAAAACAGGTGTTGTGCAATGTTGCTGTTGGAAAAGAGCCCAACTGAGACTTGGTCTCCAGACAAGTGGGCCAACCATTCAGACAGAGAGATTGGTCTCGATCACACATTATCACGTATTAGAACTGCTTGTTGAACTGTGGCAATTACTTTAATTTTACTTTCCGTATCTTTTTCTCGGGTGACTTCATTGTTAGGGAACCTTGATTATGTGTGGAATTTCATCGTTGAAATCCACAAATGGAAATAATGACTCTGTAGCAATGTGTGAGCTGAACCCTTACAAATTGCTGGTGTTCAATCATTTAAAAAAATGTTTGCTGTAGAACATATTGCTGTGAACCAATACCGAAATGTGTTTAAAGTTATGTTTTTGTAACCTTTGACAGAGCATTAAAGAATGAATTCCACACATTTAAAAACCTTGCCAGGTTACCTAATGCAAATTGTGTTTTCCTTTCACTCTTAATCCAAAATCTCTCTCTTTTTTAGACATTGATGAATGTGAAGTGAATTCCCACCAGTGCAACCCAACGCAGGTGTGCATCAACACCGCAGGAGGATATACATGCTCCTGTACTGAGGGGTACTGGCTTATTGGTGGACAGTGCCAGGGTAAGGGCAGTGGATGAAGAGGTAGAGTCAGAGTTGGGTAATTCAAGTCCAGAGAGTAAAAGTCCAGGCCGGGATTTTGTTTAAACCAAGCAGTTGAGTACTCTGTGACTGCAACTCTTTATGCTCAACTGGTTGGTTAAAACAAAATCTTGGTCTGGACTTTTACTCTCTGGACCTGAATTACCCAATTCTGTCAGAAATGAATAATAATTTAAAAAATGCATTGTGATTCAGCTGTAGCATCATATTTTATGTGCAATGCATTTTTATTAATTGCTTTCAAATTACGGAAATACATTTTTCGTCTATGTGCCATATTTGTTATGCATGTCATGTTGTTTTAAAATGTATTAAACATCATTAAAGTGGTACCTACCCTTTTCTCTCTCTCCCCCCATTTAACTCTGTGTTTTACTGTCAGATATTGACGAGTGTCGCTATGGATACTGCCAGCAGCTGTGTGCTAATATGCCAGGATCGTATTCCTGTTCGTGCAACATTGGCTTCGTCCTTAACCCAGACGGCAGGACCTGCCAAGGTAGGCATCTCGCACAGATTTGTGGAACGATGCAGCAATGAATATTGTGTAAGAACAAGCTGATGTCATTGGATTATTCCGTTCTTATGATTGCAAAAAAAAAAAACCTTAGCCACACTGTAATGCCAAAATAGTTAAAGAATGACTTCATCAGACTCCTGTGTTTGCTTACTGTAATGATGATGTAACTGAGATGTAACTGCCCCTAACAGATGTGGATGAGTGCGAGGAAACACCCTGTGCTCATGGTTGTTTCAACACCTATGGTTCTTTCATGTGCAACTGTGGTGAGGGTTTTGAGCTGGCATCTGATGGGACCACCTGTAATGGTAAGTCAGGATGTCAGGATGACTGCAAAAAAGACAGTTTCAGTCCAGCATAGAAGGCAGTTGTTGAGATGAATTATCTGTTTGATCCGTATCTGATAAAAACCAAACTGCAGGTTCATGGCATGGTTGCACTCAGTCAGGCCTACTGATGCATATTTTCTGACATTTACTGGAACTTTGATGTAAAAACTCATTGCAACATCTTTTTATGTAGAAAAAAAACTTTAAACTGGAATATGTTTTTTAAGAGAACGTTGAGTAGAGTTTATTTGTAATGCCTATATACCGTATAATGAAATGAATGTTTGTTTTATAGTTCATTGTCTTTTTTTTGCTTGTGTTTTTATGGGTAGATATGGATGAGTGTGGATTTGCTGAGTTTTTGTGTCAACACTCTTGTGTGAACAATCCTGGGTCGTACTCTTGCGTCTGTCCGCCTGGGTATTTGGTATATGATGATGGACGAAGTTGTGAAGGTATTGGACTGGATGAATTTATTGGAACTATTATGCATGTAGATCAAGGGAAATAGTGTAACATTAAGATTCTATCTGTCTTTCTTTCTTTCTCTCTTCCTTCCTTCTTGGAATTATTTACCCAAGTATTGATTGTAAAGTACAAATATCTTAATAATAAAAACTACAGCAGAAAACCTAAACTAGTCTTCTGTCTAAACTATAGTGCCAGATATCAAATATGCTAAGAAAAATTTGCCTGTTTGTATCATTTTTGTGCTGTGTACATCCTAATTTGTTGCTGTTTTGTATCATTTTTTCATGATGTCTGTGATGATGATAATGATGTTGGATGGTGATGTTTAAACTGACTTTAACTGTTATGTGTTTGATTTTGAAGATATCAATGAATGTGAAACTGGTAACAACACCTGTAGAACAGAACAAGTGTGTTTCAATTTCCAGGGAAGCTATAAATGCCTGGACCCTTTACAATGTGACGTACCTTACATTGAATTTGGTGACAAGTGAGTAAGGATATTTTTGCCATTACATGGCTTGTTATGGGCTCAGTTCCTGGTCTAATGGGACCCACTCTTCCTGTCTTTTCACAGTCAATGCATGTGTTTGGCTGAGAACCTTGCATGCCAAGACAACCCCTTCACCGTCTTGTTCCGGCACATGGATCTCTCTCCTGGCCGCAGTGTGCCTGCAGATGTCTTTCAGATGCAGGCCACCACACGCTACCCAGGCGCCTTCTACATCTTCCAAATCAAGTCGGGCAATGAAGGCCGAGAGTTTCATATGAGGGTAAGTAGACTGAATGGCCACCAGGTGGCGCAATAAGTCAATAGTTCAAAATCTTTTAACGGTCATTGTATATGGGTCTTCTATAAGAATGTGGTATCAATAGTACTGACAATTACTGATTTCAAAATAAAATTGTATAAGACGATTTGTGATTCAACTCATAAGCTTAACAGATGAAAGAGGCATTTCTTCAAATTGGTTGATGCAAATATTTCTAGTAGAAAATGTTAGGATGTTGCCCTCTGCTTACAGCTGATGCATCTTAGATCGTATATTTTCCTGTATGTTCATTTTTATTTCTGTCTTGCAGCAAACCAGCGATGCAAGTGCCACACTGGTGCTGTCACGCCCCATAAAAGGTCCTAAGGAGATTATTCTGGACCTGGAAATGGTTACTATCAACAATGTCATTAACTTCCGGGGCAGCTCAGTAATCCGACTGACAATATTCGTTGCTGAGCATGCATATTGAGGCCCTGGGTGTCTCACCCTCTTACACTTGACCACACTCCTCCGTTCCCCATCCCCTCCAGCAGGCAGCTTGGTTTATCTAAGTTTTTGGCTACACTGTTCCAGGAGATTGGTGACAGTCCTGGTCTTGCTCATATTAGCTTCGGTTCTCCTCTCACTCCTCTGCAGGGACACTGTCTGAAAGCTGCCTGAAGATGTTTGTAATGCATCCCACACGGTAGAATATTTATATTGTAACGAATGATGCTTTGTCATCGTTCTTAATGAATATTATTTGTCATTCACTTGGGTATTGTTTCCAGAGTCTTCTCAGAGATCTGTTACCTATATCGACATACCAAAAACATATTTCTTTGAGTCGATTGTTTTTTTTAAAGGACTTTTGTTGGGTTCTTGTTTTGTGTGTCATTCATGATTTTTAGGGCATGAACCATAATTCTTCACTTTGGAGCTGTGAAAGTACACTGTTGTTTTTTGACACAGTGTGTTTTTGTGATAGATTCTTAAATAACTTTCAATATATGACACAATGTTTTCAGAAAGAATGTAAACTGTGGGGTACACATGAAGAGTGTACCATTACTGGTTAAGCTGTCAAAAATGATATTAAACTTGCACACCATGGAACTGATTGATGCCTGATATTCTTATACTGCAGTTTGAAAACAAGCTTGGTTATTATGAGTCAAAGTAAAATATGCTTTAAAAGAAAACAGGATATCATTACCCATTTTCCTACTTATGCCTCATTATTGCAAATAAAGTGAATGTATATCCTTATAATATGCCAAATTTAAAAATATATTTTTCAAAGTGCATCATAGTGCATCAACCTGATTAACTGCCACGATGCAATTTGAGGGAGCTTCATTTTTTATATGGCATTAGCAAACAATGAAAAGGTAAAGGCAACTAAAACAACCTGAAACAGAACGCCGTTTTTCTTTTAACATGTCTTGTACTTTGTAAGACTTTCATGTTTGGTATTTTATGTTAATGTTTAACAACGTAATGAATTGGTCACTAAAATAAAAATGAACATTCTGATTGCTAAACCGGGATAAAAACTACTGATTAAAATACAATACAATACATTATATAAAATACATTAAAATACAATGCTAAAAAGAAATATTCGTTTTCCAAGTCACTCGAAGCTTGTACATTTAACGTAACATTTCGATACGTAGCTCTAAATAAAACACAGTGTTACTAATTACTGAGAAGTTATCTTCTGTTTCCAAGACAGATAACAGGTACGTTCGCGCGTGCTTTTGACTCGACGGGCGCTATGACCTTAAATTCATACTGAGCGTTTAGTAGTAATAACGCGGAGATTATAACGCTACGGTGTAACCATTCGCGGTGGACGTAGGCGATGGTGGGCGCTCCACATTACTTTGGGAGTCGGTACAGATGAGCCTTCCTCAGGTTCCTGGGAAACCATTTAAAAGTTAGGTATGATTCCTTTTCTCGGTCGCATTGTTTATTTTTTTCCATTTAATTTCAGAGGGCACAAGTTTTAGTATTCGCGTTAAACTTATTCAGACATTGATTTCGTGCTGATGGCATCCCCAGACTAACTTATCGAAGTATATATTGTAAATAGCGGTTAATACACATCGCACAACGTATGAATATTAACTTTTACAAACCTGTGTTGTACTGATGTAAATTTATGTATACTTTCTTTTTGTAGATTTACTTTTAAATACAGAATATAAGGGCCTAATTAGTAGTCGGTATGTGGAAAAAAGGTAAAGCTTATTTCGGCGTATTATTTTTAGCTTATGTATTTAATCAATTAATTTATTACTTTATTATTTTTATTTTATGTTTTAACTCTTCATTTAGTAGAATCCTACAGTATGGCGATGGAGTGTCTTAAAAATTGTTTCAAGATCTTTCCACACAAGAACAAAGACACTGGATCCCAAGGTAAATTAAAAAGTATTTTACATAATTAAATTTCTACTGAATATTTTGACTGAAGAATCTCAGTCATCAGTATATTCATAATTATTTTATTTGCACAGTTGTATTGGAATTAGTACATTGGCTAGGATTTATCACATTATTAAGTGAAAAACTATGATCGCTCTCCATCCATCATAATAATCACTTAGCCATCAATGCAGCAGGGATTCTCAATATTTTATAAACGATATCCCCCCCCCACCCCCACCCCAAATGGATACCAACCAGAGCTAGGAACCCTGGGGAGGGGGGACCCCTTCTAATATTTTTCACTCTGAATTGGGGGGGGGGGGGGCTTACCTGAAAACCCCTTCACTGCTGGGCTGTAGGAAACATTATTTAGTATATTTCTAAATCTTTTTATTCTTGTTTCATCTGGTATAAAATCTTATCACACCATTTTAAAGCCTGTTTTCTGCTTAAAGCGGGACCATCTTCAGCAATGAAAGCAGAGCCAAGGCGTCTCCCCTCGGAAAACGTGATCAGAGTTTCCGGGGACTACTTCCTGTCCAAGCTACCTGCAGACGGGAGAGACGTTCCCTTTGTGCTTCCTGCGTTCAAGTCTTCTTACGTCCAGCCTAGTGGCAGCCAGTACCCCGTTTATGGGGATGATCTGCACTGTATGTCACCGACACACTTTACAAACCATATTCCTGATATGATTAGATAAATGTATCTAATTCTCGCACTATTCTTTTTTAACTCCATGAAATTATCTCTAGGCTTGTTTTCCAACAGGACTGTAAACTGCTTATTTTTATCGAATTTAAAAAAAGTGGTGACATTTTACTTGAAGCTGTCATCTATAATGCATTATAGATACTATAATGTGTTATAATGAACAGTATAAAATGAATAAAGCATTACAGCATCTTCTGTTCACAGTCATTAGGCATTATAGTGTTGATTATAGTTCATAAGTTCCAATGAAGCTCTCACCTATAATGCAGTATGGATACCTTCATAATGCATTATTATGGTCAATATAAGAATTAATAAAACATTGCAGCATATTCTACTGACAGTCATAAGGCATTATAGTGTTGATTATAATACTTCATAAGCTATAATTAAGCTCTCAGCTATAATGCACTATAGATACCTTCATAATGCATTATAATGGTCGGTATAAAAATTAAGGATGATTTGAAAGGCATTATGAAGGTATCTATAGGGCATTATAGATGAGAGCTTCATAAAGCATTCACATTACAAATAATGTGTTATGCCTATTTATAAATATTTATAGCCAGGTTTGTGATGCTTTGTGAATGCATTATAATATGTTAGGAATGTGTTCATAGATTCTTATGGACATGGCATTCGTAGAAAGTGTTACCAAATATTTTCTGCAGTTGGAAAATTAATTTTACATTTAAAGTCAGGATAGAGTGTACAGAAGTTGTTGAATGTAAAGTCTGCATTACATACGCTATCCTTAACTTTCGGGTTAGAACATTAATACAGAACTCACACATTGACAACCTTAGGCGGCTTTGAGAAAATGGGTAAATGAGCAACCTGAATATATTTGAGGCGTCTGTCCATGTTCAGTATATTGTGCAAAAATGAGTCTGTAAATGGAATGTAATTTAAATAAAAAAGGGTTAAACTATATTTCATATTCCTGGCAAGATGATACATAAATACTTGTAAAGCATGTAAGTCCTATGACGGCATAAGTTTTCATCATCTTGCTTCCTACTTCCTAGGCTCGACTAGAAGGGCTTATGCAGACCGGAAAGCTGAGCTCTCAAGGACGAATCACGTTGTCTACAATCCGTGCTGCTCTCTGAACCAGAGCACCATGGTTGATCTCCCATTTCCCGGATCCTCACGCCATTCCATATCCAAGAACAACGTCACGGGCGCGTATGGATCTGGTATGTCAAATTTCCAGTTACCCATTGGAAAGTGCAGCAGATTAATTTTATAACCTTTTGCACTTCAGAAGGTCATTCAGACTGAATCTGGCCATTTCACATAGAGAATATGGTACTTTTTTCAGTATCAAATACTTTGTGTTTTGAGAAGTACTGTGTTGCACTTCACATAACTGCTTTGTAGTGTCTTTTATTCTTACAACCCATACACACAAAAAATTCCAAGTCTGTGTAATTACTTTGTCACTTTTTTTAACTCAGTGGGCATTCGGCTGTTATCACACAACCAGACTGGTAGCCTCTGTTCCGAAGTGATCTGTGGGTAATTATAACAAACATAGTTTTTGAATACAAAGTATTAAAAGGTAAAAATATTTTTAAATAAATCGTTAACTTCAGGATATCCGTCTTTTAACTGCAACAGTAAAAGCCCTTGAGATGTTACATCACCCAGCCTCTTTGTTTGTGGACACAGGTTAAATATTTGCACATTATTTTATTTTTAGTTCCTTCTACTCTAAGCATGTTCTCCAGCTTAGGTTCTTATTTTTATATGCCTGCATATTTCCTGATTACGTCTCCTCTATCAGAATTCCCGTCACAAGTCCTTGATTAACTTTGCCTTGTTTTTCAGTTTACGATTTGAAAAGCGAGAAAACAGCCATTAGCGGCTCCATGTTAGACCTTACTCACCTTCAGAATCACGCGCAGGTGGGCTTGGCAATCATCTCCTTCACCTCGTTTTACCATGAAAAGTACCATCTTGACCTTTGATACTTGTCTTAATCAATTGAAATGAAAGTTACCCTTCATTTCATTTCTTATTCTGATGGATGACATTTATGTGATATTGTAAGTTAAAAATATACCTGTTCACACTTAAAAAATTTATATTATTTTCTAATTTGGACAAACCAAATCTGATGTCAAGGTTATAATCCTTAGTATTATGTCTGCCATTAATTAGCACAGCATTTTTTTCTGGACATATGACATAGAAAGATATTTGCTTCATTACAACAAATATAATGATATTGTACTCAAAGCTCACAAAAAATATTGATTGAAATTTGTGACTCTTTACTTATATCACTAAGCTTAAGTGGTATGGTATAGAGTTTGGTGTAATTACAAATCAGGTGTCCCTGAACTGCCTGTCTGTTTATTTACTGAGGAAGGTGTTTTCAGCTTCTCAAAGAGGCTGTCCATCTAGTTAAATCTTTCTCCCTCTATGGATATCTCTTGGGCTTGCCCTCTCAGTAAGGTTATGACCATTACAAGTCAATTTTCAGAAGTATCTTTTCTTTTAGCAATATTGTTTTGTTTTTCTCACATGTCAGGTTTTCTAATATATTCTGTGATTATGTCTGATTATTGCTCTGTTTTGTATCATATACAGTGTTTAAATAATTATTCATAGTGCTTATTTAGAGATTACGTTTTCACTGCTTTCTTGTGACCATAAAGATTTGGGAAATCAAGTTGTAAGGCCGTTACTCACGTGTTACACAATGTCATTGTTTCTCCCCTACAGCGTTATGACTCAGTATCCAGTGTCAGGAGTAGTGTTTCCTCTGTGAGAGACTCCCTTGGAAGCAGCCGTAGCCTTGGTAACCATTTATTCAGGAGCAACAGTAACTTCTCTGTCACACATAAACCCCTTTGCTATGAGGGAAAAAAAAACTCTGGAGAGTTCTGTGTCAGGAATGCCAGGATTGCATTTGCAGGTTTTAATACGCAAGCTTCTATTTCACTTGAGCTAGAAAATAGCTCTGGAATTAGAAGAGACCTCTACAGCTTAAGGAGCCAGAAACACGTAGATAACCTCAATATGCATTACGCAACCAGCACCACTAGAAAGTAATTATTCCCAAATGTTTTAACCTGTCTTTGACATACTATACATATCCATCCATCCGTCCATTTTCCAAACCGCTCTTCCTTCTGGGTCAGGGGGGGCTACGGGAACGAGGTGGGGAACAACCCTGGATGGGGGGCCAGCCCATCGCAGGACATACTCACACACTATTCACTCACACATGCACAGCTATGGGAAGTAACTCCAATTAGCCTCAGCATGTCTTTGGACTGTGGGGGATAACCAGAGAACCTGGAGGAAACCCCACGACGACATGGGGAGAACATGCAAACTCCACACACATGTAACCCAGGTGGAGACTCAAACCCGGGTCCCAGAGGTGTGAGGCAACAGTGCTAACTAGTTAAATAAAGGCAATCCTATTAGTTAATGGTGCAAGTTTTTATTTTTGCTTCTACAAACACTAAATTTTGCTAACGTTTTATTTTTTAAAAGCCCCCAACTTAAAGTGGTGATCGATGGTCTCATGCTTACACAGAGTCCATTACCCTTTCGGGTGATGAGAGGGAGAAAGGGAAGCTGAGCATCAGGTTGAGTTACCAGGAGGCCCGAGAGCAGGTCTGGATAACACTCCTGCGGGTAAGGTTACAGTCCGAGTGAAACGCCCCATTGTTATGCAATTGGAATCTGTAAAGCAAGGCCATGGGATTGTACTTTGTCAGTCCTACTATTGACTTTTCTTTTGATTCTGTCCAACTTTTAGAAAGTTTACGCATTTCATTACTGCTGAGTCATTAAGTTCAGTATTGCTGCAAAAATTAAGTAATGAAGCCTTGTATAACTACTAGAATGGATGGATGAGTCTTTATTTTGCTTGACACAGTGTAAAGACCTGTATTTCCCAGTGGTGTTTGGAGAACAGCAGAAGATTGGGATCAAAGGCATAATTACTACAGCCAAGCCAGTGCAGTTTAAGTGCTCTGTCAAGGAGGCCACTCCGGTGGGTATTACCCTACCTGTCTCATGCTAACAGCACATTAAAAACACATTGTGTTTCTTCCAATATGGTCAATTACGAATAAATTGAACATGAAACCATGATAATATTTGTACTTATTTTATTGTAACTGTTTATTTTAGTTTACTTGAAGATAAGTTCTGTACTTCATGGAATTATTCTTCAGTTAGACCATTGTTTCACTTTTCTGTCCTTTCCAAGGTATAATAAAAGTTAATTTTGAGGTGTTGTAATTCTGCTCGTCGTTTTGAATTAAATTCTAACATCCTGGGCTTATTCACAGGATCTGGAGTTAATGGAGACATTTGTCTTCAGTCTGTCTCTGAAGCAGCTGCGCAGTGTAGGTCTGGTATTCCGGCTTCAGACTTATCTCCCTCAAAAGCGCACAGTGGGTGAGTGTGCAGTGTCACTACGGCAACTGGGACCTCATGAAACCCTGCACTGGTTGGACATCCATGCACCATCCAAAGCTTCGGTGAGTCTCCTGCCTTGGGAGTCATGGTTGATCTTTGAGATTATGTAGAAATGAAACCACATTAATCACTGACGTTTAGCCTATCCACTACTAGCCCCCTGGTTCCACCAAAAGGTAAACACTGTGTTGTATGCATGGTGACCCCAGAAACAGGAGGACTGTTGCAGCTAACCAGGGGACTCTAGTATTAGCCATGGGTGCAAATGGCCATATTGGCTATCCATTGACTATCCATTGACTATCCATTGACTATCCATTGGCTATCCATTGGCTATCCATTGACTATCCACCCTTGGTGCAAATAGAATGTGTGATATTATTGTTGTGGTGACTCAGACGATAGCACTATTACAGTTCCAAGGTTGTAGGTTCGATACCTACCACTGGCTATGTGTGTAGAGTTGCTATAGGTATCTTTTTACCTCACACTCTCCAGAAACATTTAGTTAGGTCAATAACTATTACAGGTACAAAGGAATTAATGGGTGAAAGTTCAGATTCTGGAAGCCAATGACTCACTTTAAGCAATTGAGTTCCAAATGTTATGCATTATGTTTACATGAGGCATACTGAAAAATTCGCTAACGTAGATGGGGAATTCGTCTTACATTATTATCTACAACTGAACAAACATAATGAATTGAGGAAGATGTAAGTTCTGGGAAAGGCCAGATGAAATACAAACACTGGTTGTTTTATTGAAGCCTGTTCTGATAAAAAAAAAATATTGATAATTTTTAAAATGTTTACAACATATTTTTTAAAACCATGAATAGACTGCTGTAATAGTGGTCAGTCATATGTGTTTTTCAGTGGCCGATGCTGAATCTGATACTAAAGTATATTGTGGCCAATTATTGGACTGGTCTTCAGGGTAGGCCATAAAAATGATACAGTTACAAAACTTTAAAGATTTATTCAAGTCAAAACTGTCACATAGTTCAACTTTTCAGTTCAAAGGCCAGTAAAACCAAGCACAGTAACCCCATCTGATTATTTGACATTCCGCATTTCAGTTATGCACGAGTTGGCCGCGAAAAATTAAATGGAAATATTTCTGGAGTTGCTGAAAGATAGCAGAACCTCGCAGACAACGCATAAGCCAAAAGCAATAATGAGAATGATTTGGATCACATGAAGTCATATAACATAAATTTTAGTGATACATAATATTTGTTAGTGTAAGTGCATACCATATCTATATTAAAAGTCTTGACTGGTGTATGCAATGCATCTTTGTCTCAGTAAGCCTCACTCACATAGCCGTCTCACGTTTCTCACAGTAAATTTTAGACTTCGGTGCCGTTACTGTATTAGCGCTTTTCCATTAAAAATGCACAAGTACATAAATACCAAAATGTCCAAATAAATACACTTTATTTTGCTATTTGTAAAAGTACATAGGAATTCTTTAGTTTTCTTGCTCTGCAGTGAGACACAGACTGCAGTGAGACTCAGGTGCTGCATTCTCCTGCAGATCTGCCACGCGGAGCTACAGATTACCACATGTTTCCAGGCTGTCTGTGGTCGGATTCAGCTCCAGGTGCTGGGAGCACAAAATGTCCCGAGTTCTTCTGCACCGTTCAGCCAAAGTAGGTGGTCCAGCAACAACTGCCAAAACTTGTGGCAACAGTAGGTTTTCCAAAGAAGTCAACAGCACATCTAATACGTATCTCTTGTCATAATTTGCTATTACTTTTTTACGTTTTTTAATCAATGGATTATATTGATAGAATGTAATTTTTTGCAACGTGTTGAATGAGTGAGACAATTGATGATTGGCATGTTCTTTTACCTAATGATGATATCTTCTTCATTAGGCTTCTTTGTTAAGGCAGAGATGTATTCTTTGGGGAAGCTTATTACCAAGAAAAAGACCCGAGTTCTGAAGTCATCAGGGGGTCAAGTGCAGTGGTCAGAAACATTCCTGTTTCCTTTGGCAACTGAAGAACAAGATGTTTGCTTCTCTGCCAAACTGTACAGTCGCAGCTCTGTGCGCAGGAAGCAGTTCTTGGGCCAGGTGAGAATACTTGCTTTATCCTCCTTATGCATGTACACACACACACACACACATACACACATACACCTCACCCCCCACTACACACGTTAAACATCCTGCAAGTATTCACACCTATCAAACAGTTGAATATGCTATCAGTAGTAGACTTAAATGTAGGATTAAATAGCGCCTGGTCTGCCAGTTTTGATACAACTCTTATTTTTTTTAGGTGAGCCTTGGATTTGAGAATACCACTTCTGATGCTGTCGAGCAGTGGAGGGACACCATTGCACACCCTGAAAAGGTGGTCTCTGTGTGGCACAAACTGAGTCGAGAGGACAGATGCATGTCTAAACAGTAACCCCTACCCCGCTCAAGCTTCATCATCCAGGTTTTGGGTACACAGCCAGTCCTTTATGCTGACGCATGTGCATACTTTGGTGGTGCTCTACGAAAATACTTTAAAATGATGACACATGTCCTTTGCGTAGAACTTCAGCTGCTAAGTATATTTAGTTTACCCTGGGGTGGTTTGCTTCTGAGAGTTCTGAGAAGTAGATTTGTTCATCCTGTGGTTTTGTAGTAATTATCCTATCAGATGTGGATGGTTGAATCCCTGACAATACAGAAACTCTGTCAGGGAGCATGATGCCCATACCATAACAGAGAGAATAATAGTCACTTTGGGGTGGAGCTTAGCAGGAGGACTGATGATGTCATAGGCGGGAGGGGCGTGTACCTTTATTCGGATTGGTCAGTTGCGTTTTGATTGACAGGTCCAAATGGGCATGTTCCTTTATGCTGTCAGA